CCTATCCGAGTTGGACAAATGTCTGGACAGGTTGGAAGGTTATCGTAACAGGACCGATACTTATAAATTGCTGAAAGATAGTCATGGATTGAATGAGATTTGCAGGTAAGTTATCATTTTACTTTTACTTTCATAATTTCCATGAAATCTTCATTTTCAAGTCTAATAGTCTTAAAATTGATTTTATTAACTGACATCTTATATACGCTTTCAACAATTTCAAGACAATAATAGTGTAAACTCGATTGACCATATTGATTTTAATAACGTTGTTCTGTGTTTGTTTACCGTTCATTTGCAATTCAATGCTTGTTTGTTTTGTTTGATTGTCCTCGAACCAAATTATGATTTTGATTAACCATGATTTTGATTCTTTATCCAAATATCTTAAATGATACTCAAAACAATGTCAAGGTATTTATCTGATTTTGATTGTGATCATGGTCGTATACGGAAGCTAAATCAAGTAAATTTATATTACTCGGTAAAATTTGGATAAATTTTCTCTTGACCTAATCAAACTTTCTAAAATTAAACATTTTCAGATCAAACCTTCAGATAAATCTTTCACCATTAACACTTTCAAATCAATCTTTTGAATTGACTGAAAAGATTTGGGAAATAAAAATTAACCAGCAATTTATTTGCATAAGATTTGATCAAACTATCAATGATATTTTACCAGAAATATCGGTTAACCCAAATAATCGAGATTTTTTAGGATCAGATAATTGTTACTTTGTAATCAAAGAGTAGAGGAGATCTTCCTTTACTCTTTGTTTGTAATTGATACTTTTGTCTGGTCAAAGTTGATTTCAATTTGCCCTTACTCATTGTCTATCTTTTTCTGTCTGGTTAATCTTTTGTGTTAGGCTTCATTATTTTTCTCTAATTGTAATTAAAACATGTTAACTAAATAAGATTATTAATAATTGTTTTGTTAATTTTAATATTCATCACAGTACCGTTCAAGAAACTATCTCTTGTTTCAAACAGTATGTTGAAAGATGTGGTACGCCATTACAATACGAGCTTTTTGATTTCACTTTGGAATACTTCACCAAATCTATTGATAAATTCTGTAAGCCTGGACCAGATAGAGATGGTAAGTCATTAATTGACAATTTGTTTTGCTATTAAACAGTTAAAGATGTATCTTCAAGGACAGAAAAAAAACCATTTTGTGTTTTAATGTTCTAGTAGATTCCATTGTCTTTGTCCATTTGTTTTTACATAACTTGTTTTCTCGCGGAAATGTGAAATTTATTTATTTGATTTTAAAATTTCTCTAATTGATTTATGATTTGTTTATTTTGAATGATTTTAGCTTTCTTGAAACACTCACCATGTGCTGTTGAAAAGGTACTTGGAACCCAAGAGACAAAGAAAACATGTAACAACCCTTTTTTGGCAACGATTGAAAAAAGTGATAAAAACAGCAGTCTCGATCATCGTCTGGATTCTGTTTGTTGTTCATACAATAGATGGGAAGATTGTTTAATGACGTGAGTATTAATATCATTAAGATAGACCTATTGGAAAATTGGAGATCCTCATCACTCAAGTTATTAATTGTGTGGCCAGACTATTATCAACTAACATCGTTATTCAACAAAACTATCTATTAGTATACACTTATTTGAAGATTTTACCAAGGACAATTATTCAATTTCTTTGTATTTGTAATTGTTAATTGACAATCCACTCAGCCTGAGGTATTTTTTAGTGCAAAAAAACTCATAACTATGTAGATTTTTCTTTGAGTACTTGAATACGACAAAACGACAACTTTTAATGCTTACTGTTTGATAGAGTCATGGGTTTTTAAAAGATTGAGCCCTTGGAATGACTCGGACTTATTTTTCCATGCTTACACTGAATTTTTCTTATTTGATAATTGACTTTGCAATGTAAATTAATTAAATTTTATCTTCTCTTACAGATCAATCGAGAAAGAATGTGGTAAGGATGGAAGAGAATCGATATTCAATTTCTTGGACAAAGCTTTTGCAGGTATTAATATGCATAATTTTGATTAGTTTTATTGCAGTAATTAGCCTGTTTAATACTAGTTTTACAGCAATGGAGACTGATCAACATGAATATGCAGATTGGCATTGTTTGAATATCAAACTAAAATTTATTCCACTTTATTTTTATTCAGGTTTGATTCGAATGGTCTGTAACCATGATGAGTTTAACTACAAACTGGATAAATGCAAGGCAGTCTTCGCTCCTGATGGTGTCGAAGTCGATTTACGTACAACTGAACATCCATTTTTAAAATACCTTGCATCTTACTTTGGTTTCCTATTCAATTAATTTGAAACCAATGACACAATGTGATTCATCTTTTTTTTGTTGAAAATATTCGTCATCCAATGTTTTTTATTTGTTGATTTCACCTGTCATTTAATGGGGAAAGGTTTATCTTTAGTCATTATTAATTGTACACAAAATTGTTCTCAATCAAATTAATAATACGTTAATAAATTAATAAGTGATTAAGTATGTGACTCGTCTATTAATTTGTACTTTTCTTGAAACATTTTAGCGCGAAACAATACAAATCAAATGAAAATAATATTCCGCCAAAAACTTTACATATTTTGTCTATAGAGGGCGCTATAGAAAGAAAATGAAAAATGGGCGTTGAAAAAACCGAAACAAGTGATTTTAAGTGATCTTTAATTGTGTTTTAATTAATTAAATAAGTCTAATTACTATTTACATTTGTGATATTCTTCTTTCCTAAGCAGTAAGCTATCGAACGAGATATCTTGTGATAAAATCCATCCAGAAATATGAATACAATCAATGAAAATGAAAATACCAACTCATCAGCTGATAATAACATGTCTGCTAATACGACAGGTAGAGACATAACACACGTGTACTCGATATCGGAAAGATTGTCTCACCTATATGAGTCTGTTAATGGTCTACTAACTAAAGCTACTAAAGCGGCTATTAACGCAATACTCAGTGAAGTCCAAGCAATTCAAACCCTAGTTCAAAGTGATATTGATAATTGTTTACTGGAAAAACTCAATGTGTTGGAAGGAAAGCTCGACATCATTGGTACATCTAATCCCAGCTCTAACAACCCAGATAACTCTGGACAAAAGAACAAGAGAAAATCTCGTAGATCAAAGAACAAAGTTGTAATAATCAAACCGACTGATCAGCAGAGTGATGCGACTGAACTTGGAGGTGAAATAAAACAAGTCATCTTGCAATCAAAAATAAACTGTGAAAGTTTTACCATCAACAACAAACATACAAGAATTTCAGCTAACAGTGACAAGAAGATTGATGCGATCAAGGAGACCATAAAATCCAGTGGAATTGGTAATAAAGTTGTAATTGAACCACTAAAACCACTACTACCTCAAATCTCCTGTGTGGTAACTGCTGACCAATCTGAAGACTTCAAAAGAGATCTGGAGGTATTCAAGGAGAGAAACAGAATAACTGATCAACAAGTGGAAGTTATCGTTTGTCAAGACATCAAGACGAAGTCAAACTACAAGAAGAAATATGTCGTAATTAGAATGACTAGAGAAGCAAGAGAAAAAATTGGTCAAAGAGGAAGAGTCTACATTGGATTGGAATCGGTTCCCTTTAGAGATAACTTTAACATCAGGATATGTACTAAATGTTTCAAATATGGTCATACTGCAACCTATTGCTCAAATGAACTAATGTGTGGTAAATGTCAAGAGAACCATCATACCAAAGGTTGTAATTCCCAAGATTTACCAAAGTCCGAATGCTTGTTATGTAAAAATACAGGTCAACACGATATCCATCATCAACCAAGATCTAACAGATGTACTTCTTATAACGCTGCTGTCCAAAAAATTAAAGAAATAATAGATTTTGATTATAATGAGGATGAAAATAATTGCACGCAACTGTCACAAGTCGCTAGTGAAAACTATTAGCTTAATAGATGAGATGAAACCTGATACCATAGCACTCATCCAGGAAGCCAACTTAAAAATCATATCTTCTCTGAATAACAACAAAATAATGTATATAACTAATGGAGAGACTGTAATTGCTGCCTGGAGATATGCTGTTGGTAAAATTCACAAAATTTGTGACTCCACTATTTCAATTCTCTATAAAGTAAATGGCAAAAATATCCTCATCTTTAATATCTACATTCATCCTGACTACACTGCTTCACAAACTGCGACACTAATCAAACAAATGACACTGATAAGAAAAAGATATCTAAATGTTCCCTGTATGTTACAAGGAGACTTCAATAGCCAACTTGGAATATGGTGCCCATATCCAGTGAAAGAAAACATCAAAAACAAGATGCTGATGGACTTCATCACTGAATTCAATCTCCGAGTACCATATGAACCTGACAAGCACCTGTACACATTCACTCGATCTGGCTGTAAGACTCACATAGATGCTGTTCTGATATCCAAGAGATTAAGGCCCAAGTTGACATCAAACCGACTGGAGAGGATCACTCTCTCTTTTACATTGAACTTGACTCAGTTAAAGAAATATCTCCATCAAGCTGTAATAAGAAGAACAACATCAAGACTATGGTACTAGATCGAGAGAGATATTTCAAAGAAATCAATGAAGCTTTACAGCAATATAATCTGTCAACTGGTCTAAATCCTCATCAAATTGATCAAATAACTCTGGAAATATTCAAGAAACAACTAAACCTTCAAGCGACTCTGAAGAAAGAGATAAAAGACTTTGATCTAACAAAAATTATAAGACAACCGATTCTAAAGAGAAAACTATCCAAGCTTGTGAAAAAATTCAAAAGAATTAGATCGACAGATAATCAACAACGAATTATTGACATCAAAGACAAGATCAAGAAGGTAACTAATGAAAAACTTGCTAGAAAATTTGATGTAAAAGATGGGAAAAGACTATGGAAAGCAATAAGAAGTACATTGGATCTAGATGAAGCTGTTGTAACATCTGAAGCCTTTCATACCAATGCTGAAACATGCACAAATGAATACCATCTTGAACTGAAAGATATAAAAATATCAGAGGATAAAACCCAAAACTGTTCAATACTGGATGAGCAAACACTGGAATGTCAAAAAGAGAAAATTCTAAGTACTCTTAAGAGCCTCAAAAATAATAGCCCAGGTCCAGATGCTCTGACGAGAAATGAAACAATAAGAATCTTTCTAGCCAGCTCTGAACTACTCACCAATCTGATGTATGCTTGCTTTAATCTAAACTTCATTCCATCTGCTTGGAAAATCACAAAAGTCATCATTATTCCAAAGAGTGATGGCATCAGAACAAGAGTAATCCAAATGCAATCATTCTTAACCAAAACTCTAGAGAAGATGCTAAGTGATAAGATATTGGATGTAATACCGATGGATACTTTTAAGTTCCAACATGCTTATCAACAGGAGAAGAGCATTTTGACAGCAATTGATGACTTACTGGTAGACTTCGACACTGATCCAGACACAAATCTAACGTCAAACTTTGTCATCCAAACTGACATACAACGAGCTTTTGATGAAATCCACCATGAGGCCATTCTGGTAAACTGTGTTAAATATAAAGTTAACATCTCAACAATCAAAATGATCATAAGTTATCTATCTGGAAGACATAGTATGATATTACATGAAAATAGACCAAAACTGAAGAAACAAATCAAAGGTGTTCCGCAGGGATCAATCTTAGGCCCTTTACTATTTATCATAGGGATTAATGAGGGTTTAAATCAGATATCTAAAACACAATTTCCTCCTTTACTAGTGATAGACAAGAAATCTCAACAAAAGATAGTTAATTTCAACATGAAGATAAATCTAAGTGTTTATGCAGATGACATATTGATCAGTTTTAAAGCAGGAATAGACTGTCAGATACTAAAATATATGGTAGATGTAATACTTAATAGCATTAACTTAGCTCTCAAGACATCGAGACTGGCTATAGCTCCAGAAAAAACTAAGATTATAACAAATGATAAACTTTTAATCCATGAATGGAATAACTCGATATCTCTTGTTGGTAAAACAGAAATATTGGGCCTTCCCATTGATCTAACTCAAGCAAAATTTCTCTTTGTAGATTCAAAAACATTATTAGCCAAATTCAGGGACAAGAAAATTAAACTCAAACTTCCGATTAGATTAGCCAGAAACCTTCCACAGAATGTAGTCAAAATAATCAGCTCAGCTCTATTCGAAGCTGATGCACTAACCTACGCTCCCTTCCTAATTCCAGTAATTCAGGAAATGAGCTTTGTTAGAGAAATCAATAGATATCTGTTTCCCCTCATTAATTCGTACATAGGACTGAAGCCTACTGAGAGATCACTACCTGCACACATCATCACGAATGTAACTCCTCTATATAGTAAAATCTTAAAAGTAGGACTAAAATATGTCCTTAAGAATCTCGACAAGGAAGGAGCTGTCTTCAACTGGATAATGGACTTCAAGCCTGACTTACTTCCAAGTTTAAACATTCAACAAACGAAAAACTCATGGATTAACAAGAAGGTCATTGAGGAAACCAGAAATCTTCTCAAAGATGAAGAATATGATGAACTCAACTCCTACTTTATGTTACATGATGTCAACAAAACTGGATACTCAAGACTTAATTTCTCTACCAGAATAATAACTGGAAGATATAACTTTCTAACGAAAGATAAGAAATGCGTATGCAATCATCAATCTCCTGACAATGTCCATTTCATTTTCAATTGTCCTGAACTTAATAGACGACGACAACATCTCAATAAGATAGCCAACTATCGGAAGAAAGATCTTAGAAAACTAATAATCTCAGACCCTAAGACAAGTTATGGATTCATGAAAGAAATTCACAGCACAATTCTTCAGATCTCTGATAATGAGACAGAATCACCTTTGACTATATCTCTATAAGAGACTATCTAATTGTCCTCTATTCCTAATCACCTTATATCCCTTAACTCCTAAATCCCCAATCCTTTCTTTTTCGCTCCTCTTAACTCTTTTACCTTTTCTAAAAATTAAACAACAAGAAAATAATGTTTTCAAAATAAGCATTGTATAGTGAGCGCCATCTAAGCTCACTAGAAATTGTAAGCCACACCTTTGAAACGTTTGTGTGAAACAACGGAAGCTGTTCCTCTTTATTGTGTTTAAAAAATATTTTTCATTGCATCATAATAAAGCATCAAAATGGTTTTTTCCATCAAAATGAATTTTTCCAAAGTGTTGAATTTAGTTAATCACAGTCACAATAATAATAGTAATAATAATCAAAGCCATAGCCATAATCAGGGTAATAGTAGCTCCAGCAGTTTGAGCACAAATAATCATAGTAGTAGAAATGAAAATGTGATCAGTGGACGTAATTATCAAAGGAGATCAACTCGCCATAGTCGTTATCTTTCGAGAAATCAACTCCATTCTGCAGCTGCCAATGTATCTATTTCACCTCCACCACCACCACCACCATCTAGTAACCTTCATCCAGTTAATTTGCCACCCACAACACATAATTTAACTTGTGCAAACAATGGTAGCCTGGGTAGCTCAACATCACCAATAGGATTACCAGAAGGTTATGAAATGCGGATTGCTCCTAAAGGTCAAGTCTACTTCCATCATGTACCAACATCAAAGAGCACTTGGCATGATCCTAGAGTCCCTCGTGAATTGTTAAATCAAAATTTTGATCTAGATAAATTGGTTGGTAAACTTCCAAGTGGATGGGAGATACGTACTATATCTTCAGGTGATCATGAAAGAGTATATTTTGTGGACCACAACCGTAAAACAACTCAATTCACAGACCCAAGACTTGTTGCCAATCCTGATATACTTAAAAAAATTTTAAGGTAAGATGTTAACCATGATCTTGATGCTCTTTTCTCAATCTTTTATTGAGAATTACCAGACTGAATTATTTATCTATCAGTGGCTCTATACTCTCTCATTCTTTATTGCTTTTTTTGCTTTTCTCAATATCATACCATACTGACTTACTAATTCAAGATCATGCGAATTATTGCAGAAACAAGAAAATGAAAGTGAAAATTTTATAATAAGCCTTACAGTCATGTATTTCTCGAGGCTATTCTCTCATTAATATTTTAACTCACTCATTAATATCAGTTTGCCTTGATTTTACATGAATTCAATAGTTTGATACTATTTTCATTTTACTTTTTCTTTTCTCCATCAAACTGTTCCTGGATTCACTTCCTTAATTTTTGAATTTGTTTACATATTCGTTTGTTTCACCTGATATCCTATTTATTTTTGTTTAGTGAAATTTAAATTATCAGGAGTCCAATTCGTAATCGTGAATCCTTTTAATTTATGTCTTTGCTCGCTCCGATGTGTATCTATGTAAAATGCTAACTGAATACCATTTTTTTGCTTCATTTCCCTCCAGAGAACGACCTAATCTCTGTTATGCTAATGTTGAAAAGACTCCGAAGCATAGTGGAAGATCTTCTAATGGAGCTGATCCTCACATATTCAGAGAAAGCTGCAAAAGAAAAAATTTGGTGCAAAAGATGGCTGGTTTAAGACAAGAACTTCAAGAAATGCAACCTCAAACAGGACATTGTCGCCTTGAAGTCTCCCGAAAGGACATTTTTGAAGATTCTTATCGTGCTGTTATGAAGAAGAAACCAAAAGATTTAATGAAACGGTTGATTGTTACGTTTAAGGGGGAAGAAGGATTAGATTATGGTGGCCTTGCCAGGGAATGGTTATATTTATTATCGCATGAAATGCTAAATCCACAGTATGGACTTTTTCAATATACCCGCGAAGATGTGTATACCTTACAAATCAACCGCGACTCTTCCGTTAATCCGGTAAAATTTATACTTAAATTTAATTTGTGTGAAATTTATTCAATTACACGGCATTCTAATGAATTATTTGGTTTTTCTTTCATCAACTATCCAGGATCATTTGACATATTTCCATTTTGTAGGAAGGATTATTGGCATGGCAATTTTCCATGGTCATTATATAGACGGAGGATTTACCTTACCATTTTACAAAATGCTTTTGAATAAATCAATAAATCTCGAAGATATTCAAGTCGTAGATCCTGAACTATATAGGAGCCTCTGTTGGATGCTGTAAGTAATCAGTTATATCGATACTTCGTCATAAATATTAGATTGATAAGAAAATTTTGCACAGAAATGCACTTTTTTATTACTCAATTACACTTGTAAGTTTGGTTCATTTGTGCGGGCAAAATTTTCTGATCAACTTATATTTAGATTATGTTGAAAATTTTTCACACTAAACTTGATAAAACTGTGTCATGTTTGATTACAAATTTATTCTAATTAATTCTTTTATGAATTTCAGTGAGAATAATTTGAGCGGCGTATTGGAAACTACTTTTAGCGTTGAACATAACTCTTTTGGTCATTTACAAGTTCATGAGTTGAAACCAAATGGAAAAAACATACCTGTTACAGATGAGAATAAACGTGAATATGTTAAGTTATACGTTAATTATCGCTTTAGACGAGGTATTGGACAACAATTCCATGCGTTACAGAAAGGTCTCAACGAATTAGTGCCTACGAGTTCACTCCAAATATTTGATGAAAAAGAATTAGAGGTAAGATTTTATTATTTAGATATTGATTTATTGATATCGATAATATTTATATTGATATTTATTCCAAACCATTTCTTCTTTATTTGTGGTCTTCAGCTTGTTATCAGTGGTTTGGGTAATATAGATATAAATGATTGGAAGTCAAACACTAGGCTCAAGCATTGTACACCCGATACACCCGTTGTTAAATGGTTCTGGCAAGCAGTTGAATCGTATGCAGAAGAAAGAAGAGCTCGCCTATTGCAATTTGTTACCGGTAGTAGCCGAGTGCCTTTACAAGGTTTTAAAGCCCTTCAAGGATCTACTGGAGCATCAGGACCCAGACTATTCACGATCCATCTAATTGAAGCAAGTTCTGATAACCTGCCCAAAGCTCATACCTGCTTCAATCGTATCGATCTACCTCCATATGAAACTTATGAGAAGTTATATGAAAAATTGACTCAAGCAATAGAAGAAACGTGTGGATTTGCTGTTGAATGAACAACTTAATCGTGTTTTAACATTGGATGAAACGTACCATACAGAGCCAAGCATGACGACCAAATCATATTGACTTTTCATTGACTGTCTTCAAAATTCGTTACCAAGTTATTCATCCGCCTTTTGTTGAGACTGCCTTGTATTGCATTTCATTCATCTTACTCAATTTTTGATTTTTTAAAAATTGAGATGAATCAAGACTGGTGCCTGTTGCATTCACATTATTATTGACATTATTAACACTATTATCACTATTACTCACATTAACCTGCTTATGGTTACATTATGTTAGCTCAGTAAATTGTGATGATGTGTTTGGTGATTTTGTTTTACGCATTTTGGTTAAAACTGTGCTTTTACAAAACATAATGAGTGTTTTTTTACTATGATTACAATTATCAAAATATCGTAACCCGTTTTTCAGTTTATACTTAAAACTGTGGGGTTTAAACACTTGTGTATAAATGCAACTTAACTTAAAGACTTATCAAGACTTAATTATCATGTTAAAAAAATCTTACCGGCTGAAACTCTATCATTGGAACTGCAATTGATTAAATTGTATTATGGGTTGTGAAACAATCACTCATTATGCTCTTGTAAGAGTCACATAAAACATATTACGCTACCGACTTCACATAATACTTGCTACCAGAAAACTGTATCTTCCTTCCCTCACCCTGTTTAATCTGTTATGCAAAGCACTCACTCGAAATTTTTATGCACTCAGCTCATGACTTCCCAGTAACTTGGATAAGATGAAACAAAAATCTGTGATGTCTCATGATGATTTTATTGATATTATTAGAATTATTGTGATTAATGTACTGGTTGTTGAAACAAACAAAACAAAGCAACAATTTTACCTGAAGATGCTACTTCAAATTCTGATCCCGAGTTAACTTCTTAAAGTATTATAGATCTCTTCTTTTACCTGTCTTTCCTCTTCCAATTATTTCTCTCACCTTCTCTTCTTATCAATGTGATTTTTCCAAATGATTTATACGGATCATCTTTTCTCAATTAATCCCTGCCCTCACTTTATTAAGTGTATAAATATTAATAAAAGTTTACAAACTTGAACTTTATCAAAACCTCAATTTTATCAACATTTATGAATTCACATTCAAAAATCACCGCAGTTATTAAAATATAAGTCTGGAAAAACGAGACATGGCATAGACTGGTTTCTATGGATTCAAATATTTCTTGAAACAAAACAAATCACGTAACCTTACCTAATACACACTTGGAATCATTAGCTAATTGTTGACTTAAGCAAAAATATTACATTTTTAAGTTTTATAATTACTCAAGTGAATGATAATTGTTTCATTTTTAAAAGTATCAAATCAAAAGTATCATTTAAAAAGGAGAGAAGAGGTGATAACTCGGAATGACAAACAAAGAAAATTCGATGACAATTATATTTGATTGTTCCAAAAACAATTTATTCACTCCTCAACAAGGCTTCAAAGTACTGACTCGAAGGTTCAAAACATCAGGCCATAAAGTAATAAGGTTTGTACTAATTGTTGTCTTTTGATATCAAGCCCAACGTTCACCGAATCTCAAAATCACTTCTCTTGTTTTTTATTTTTAAATAGCAATAAAGATGATATTTCAAGTGAGGTTCTTAATCAAGCCACTATTTTCATTATATCTACACCAAGGGAAAAGTATTCAGAAACTCAGGTATTTATTATTCAATAGATTACTTGATTAAATACTTTAAACTCTTGTGCTTTTCAGATTAATCATATCAAAAAATATCTTTCTAATGGAGGGAGACTTTGGATAATGATGAATGAAGGAGGTGATAGGAAACAATCATCTAATGTTAACTCGATTCTAGAAAATACAGGAATAACAATTAACAACGGTAATTATTTATGCTAATAGCGCTTTTTAATCAAGTCTCTTGTTTTTAATTTGCTTCCTTAGATACTGTAATACGTAACTCTTATTACAAATATCTCCACCCAAAAGAGGCTTTGATTAACAATGGCATTCTTAATCGTGGCATTTTAACCGTTGCAAGTAAATTGAAAAATTTAACTGATTCCGGTAAATCAACTTCCAACATACAATTTATCAACTACGTTTACCCTTATGGTGCCAGTTTAAATGTAACTAAACCTGGAATAGGAATTTTATCAACCGGATCTGTTTGTTACCCATTGAATCGACCAACCATTGCTTTTTACACTGATAAAGCAACAAATGGTAAATTAATTGTCATTGGATCATCACAAATGTTTACTGATACTTACATTGAAAAGGAAGACAATTCATTGATCAAGGATATTATTTTGGAATACTTGTTGGAACCCATTTTCCCGATAGATCAGATTGATGCTGAAGATCCTGAAATTAGTGATTATCACACTGTACCTGATATTACTTTGCTATCTGAAGAGCCATTGTCCTGTCTCCAAGAAATAGAAGATGCTCCTTCAGATTATACCAAATTATTCAGCAAAGAACTCTATGAAATTGATAATACTCTGTTAGCTAAGGTAATATTGGCTTATAAAGAGTTTCACATGGAAAAGGAACCACTCAAATTAATCAAACCACAATTTGAAGCTCCACTACCAAACTTGGAACCAGCTGTTTTCCCACCAAACTTTCGTTTTCATCCCAAGCCTGACTTGGAGTTGTATGATCTTGATCAAGCTTTCAGTTCGATTCCAGCACGATTAACCCAAGTAGTCAACAAATGCACAGACGATGATCTCGATTATTACATAAAGGAATGTGCCATGGTTCTAGGACTTCAAGGATCTGAAAAGATGTCATCGAAAGAAATTCTGAACAAAATATTTAACAAAATTGTCCTTTACAAGAAAGTGAACATTGATAAGGATTGACGCCAATAAAATTGTTATTTGCCTAAAATTCAATAGCTTTCAATAGAAACCATTTGCGTTATTTTTCTCTGAATTTCTAGCTTTAATTCACCTTCATCATCTGAAATAAATATAACTAATTAAAGAATTTTAGCTAAATCAGTATTGAAACTCAAGATTAGAACTTTTGGAGCAAAAAGTATAATGATTAATGGTAATTTCAAGATGTTTAGGTATCAGTTTCAGAAAAAAAATCATAATTTCGATTCATTTTCTAGTATAAATTAACAGCATCTAAGCACTTATATTCTGTATTTTAAGACAACCATCTTGATCTGATTGTCTTTTCAACTATCGATCTTCATACATGTATTAAAAATGTATTATAAACCCAAAATTTGGGTAATATTTGAAAATATTTTTATTGCTAAACAAGAAAAAGGAGGGAATACAATGAATAAGATATGAACAGTAATGTTTCTGACTAATTTTTCAAAGTTAAATTGAGACAGTATGACTAGACTTACAGGCACCATTCAACCGTTGAATTAAAGATGTCTTTTTCAAGCGTTTTTTGGCAAAAGTAAGTTAGTTCTGATTTTAAATAGTGAAGTTATGAATCTAGATAGAAAAGTTTGTCAAAATTCAACTTTGAGACATAATTTTGATAATATTACATCAATGTTTAGGTAATTTTCTGGGTTTGAATATTTTTTGAGTCGGTTGAATGCTGTATGTAGCCACTTCGATTGGTTGCCAACCATTTTTGTTGTTTGTATTGGCGCTTTTGGCCTTTCGGTTTGAACATGTTTTACAATAAGAAGTACCATAAATGAGTTGTTCAAAAATTGATAAACCGAACCAATTGCTCAAAATACTCATAAAGAAAATAATAAATTCCGGAAACACTTGAACTGGATAAGCAGTATAGTAGATGTCAGGGTCAACTGATGGTGTGATCTCTAGAAATTTAAATTTTGCTTGAACTCCTCCGTCAATGTAATCTTTTCGTAACTCATAAGTCATTAAATTACAGGAAATTTTTGATATTAAACGTGAGCAATATTTATAAATAGAATTGAAATCTTCACCAGAAATTTGTTGGAAACCAAGATGACCAGGATATGTATTAAAAGATAATATCGCTGCTGAATATAACGTTTGATTTGGTAAATTAAGCATCTTGTCTCTCACACAATTATGTAATTCATAATGTCTATCATGATATTCACAGTCAGTTGTATATGGAGAGGGAAGTGCATCGTAATAAATTCTTTTAAAGGCCAGTCGAGTAACCTCTAAATTATTTACTGCTGAAGGAATCTCAGTGTATGACCTGATTCTTGAATCCATATTGCTATTGATATCAGTCAATCGAACTGAAAATAATGTATTTATCGTATGTGCAAGTTGCATCAGAATACGATTATCGGTTGAGATTGTATCCACATCCAATATTATCGGTTGAGAATTGTTACGACACGAAATTCGGAGATAAATATTGGTATTGGAAAAATAACGATTAATTTTGCAATACTTTTTCAAAATGTGAACTTCGTTGTCCTGTTTTATAGCCAAAGAGAAAATATCATTTTCAGGATTGAGTATAAGCTCTTCAATATCTTTCACTTTGATTTTGTCAGCGATTATAGCAGACTGTACGTAATGATTTTTCATTAAACGTTGTGTGGAAACATTGAAAAAATCTGAAAATGATTGAAATGATGAATTGAATCTATCAAATAAATCGGTTTGGTTAAGATAGGCTGTTAACGGAATGGCGAGGTCAATATTAGGTAATTCATATGATTGTGGGAAATCGATTTGTACGCCATATCGAACGTCGTAGCTCATATAATTAAATGTGGCAACATAAAGTTGACCAATACAGCCAATTATACAAATTACTCTTATTATATGCCTTCGTAAAAGCATTGTGAATTCAAACACTTTTGTAAAAAATTGGGTTTTTAGGAAATATTTGGAAATAAATTTTAAGGAAACTTAACAAATGCAAAGTTTTGACTTCGCTTTGCACTTCTGAACAGTTGAATTTTGAGAAAGGTTTGCACTGAAACCTGACTACAGTAAAAGCTTCTACCACAATCGAGGAAGCTCTTTGGTCAATAAGAGCAATCACAATACATGTGCACTTTCAAAGGTAAACATGAATCAATCATAAGTATTCCTGAAATGGTCAACAATAGCAAGTAATTGATTTACATTTAATCAAAATGTCAAATATGCATAATGAAATGCATTTATTCATTTATAAAATTAAGTACAAAGGACGTAATTATTAGTAAATTTTATTAGAGGAAATTTTATTTCATTTACAATTCGGGTAAAAATAGATCGCTACTAAAAAGACATATTTAACACAAATATCACATATATGCACAAATTGACACAAACATTGCAAGACAAATGGGTTAAAACGGGTTAAATTACTTTCTTTCTCATTTAAATTCTGTTGGTTTGTAGGGACGTAGAAACTGAATCCATTGATGCGATTAAAAAATTTCTCTGACCAACAGTTGTCGAGAAAATGGAGATCGAAGTTGAAACTTCGATCGTCTTTTGTGCGATCATGGAAGAAGATTTTTCTATGAAACTCAGTTTGCAAATGTGATTTTCAATGTTGAACCAGAAAATGTACTTACTTTGCGAAGTAAAACTTTTCTTTTCCTGTAAAATAGATAAGTTCGATTTTCAACTAAACGGACAGATTTCTGTGACCATAAGTGTTAGCGAGCTGAAACTTAATAAATATGCATAGAAATTGTTAGTTCACATTATGTATTAAATACTTATAACAATTTAATAATAGTTCTCTTGATTTTGCCAATTGATTTTAAAACTTTAAGCTTCGATATTTCGAAAATGGCATCACCTACAATCAGTATTCTTTCCCCAATTCAATTCTTTATTAATTGCTAATGCAAAACAATCTAAAAACTTTCCATTAGTGGGCTTTGGGCTTGATATTTAGGCTGTAAATGTGCTAGAATCAGCTTATTCACCAGAAAAGACTCATATAAAAGCATATCTTGGTAAATAAACCACTTTTCTGGTTAAACTTATAAATGAAAGGCAAAGAGTGCTGCCAAAGATGCGATCATTTGTGTAAAGAGTTGAGACTTGGTGGGTTTGTAAGGACATGAAAACTGAATCCATAGGTACTATTAAATAATCCATCCAATGGATAGTTTTCAAGTAAATCGAGGTCAAAGTTGAAACTTCGATTGCCTTTTGTGCAGCAATGGAAGCAGACTTTTTCACGAAACTAGATTTATTGCTGTGCATTTAGATTTTCAAACAGAAAATGATCTTATTTCGAATATAAATTTTTCTGATTCCGTAAAATCGATCAAAGCGCAATACGAAGTTAAACCGATCAATTTCTGTTACCGTTAGAGTTAGAAGGCTGAAACTTATAATTGATCTATAAAAATTGTTTGCTCATACCATGGATCAAATACTTTTTCACCTGCATCAATAGTTTTCATAATATTGGCCATTAACCTAAAAACTCTGAGGCTCGATATTTTGAGAATGATTGCCCCTTCAACGATCATGCTTTTACACAACATTAGATACTATTATGGACTATAACAGTACATGATTGAATACCGAATAAAATCTGCACAGAATCATTTAATTATCAAGATTCCTCATTTGTGTTTAGTAACTATGCAACTTTATCAATCAAGTCTAAAACATAAATAATACGATGCTATAACTTTTTTTGTGGGATCTCGAATGATTTAATACTTCAAAATAGCATAGGCCATAATGCAAACTAATGTTTGACCAAGAATGATCATTGTAGATGATAGCATTCTCGAAATGTTGAAGTTCAAAGTTTCAAGTCCGATAGCCAAAATCAACAGAACTGGTGCTAAATTGAAAAAAGTATTTGATCCATATTGTGAGCAAACAATTTTTATGGACTAATTATGCGTTTCAGCCTTCTAACTCTAACGGTAAAAGAAATTGATCGGTTTAACTTCGTATTGAACTATTGATCGCATTTATCTATTTTACCGAAACAGAGTAATTTATTATTCAGAATAAGACCATATTCTGGTTGGGAATCAAAATGCACATCAATAAATCTAGTTTCGTGAAAAAGTCTGCTTCCATTGCTGCACAAAAGGCAATCGAAGTTTCAACTTTGACCTCGATTTACTTGAAAACTATCCATTGGATGGATTATTTAATAGTACCTATGGATTCAGTTTTCATGTCCTTACAAACCCACCAAGTCTCAACTCTTTACACAAATGATCGCATCTTTGGCATCACTCTTTGCCTTTCATTTATAAGTTTAACCAGAAAAGTGGTTTATTTACCAAGATATGCTTTTATATGAGTCTTTTCTGGTGAATAAGCTGATTCTAGCACATTTACAGCCTAAATATCAAGCCCAAAGCCCACTAATGGAAAGTTTTTAGATTGTTTTGCATTAGCAATTAATAAAGAATTGAATTGGGGAAAGAATACTGATTGTAGGTGATGCCATTTTCGAAATATCGAAGCTTAAAGTTTTAAAATCAATTGGCAAAATCAGAGATATATGATTAAATTGTTATAAGTATTTAATACATAATGTGAACTAACAATTTCTATGCATATTTATTAAGTTTCAGCTCGCTAACACTAATGTCACAGAAATCTGTCCGTTTAGTTGAAAATCGGACTTATCTATTAACAGGAAAAGAAAAGTTTACTTCGCAAAGTAAGTACATTTTCTGGTTCAACATTGAAAATCCCATTTGCAAACTGAGTTTCATAGAAAAATCTGCTTCCATAATCGCACAAAAGGCGATCGAAGTTTAAACTTTGAACTCAATTTCCTCTGAATAATTGTTGAGTCGGCTGAATGCTGTATGTTGCTTCCTCAATTGGTTGCGAACTATTTCTGTTGTTTGTATTGACGCTTTCAACCTTCCGTTCTGAACATGTTTTACAATAAGAAGTACCATAAATGAGTTGATCGAAAATTGACAGACCAAACCAATTGCTCAAAATACTCATAAAGAAAATAATAAACTCGGTAACCTCTTGAACTGGATAAGCACGATAGTATATGTCAGGGTCAATTGATGGTAAAATGTCTATAAATTTAAGTGTTGTTTGAACTTCTCCGTCAATGTAATCTTTTCGTAATTCATAGTTCATTGAGTGGCAATCAATTTTTGATATTAAACGTGAACAATATCCATAAATAGAATTGAAATCTTCATCAGAAACTCGTTGAAAAACCAAGATGACCAGGATATGTATTAAAAGATAATATCGCTGCTGAATATAACGTTTGATTGGGTAAATTAAGCATCTTGTCTCTTATACAACTATTCAATTCATGGTTTCTATCATAGTCTTGACAATCAGTTGTATAAGGATATTCAAGTGCATCGTAATAAATCCTTTTAAAGGACAGTCGAGTAACCTCTAAATTATTTGCTGCTGAAGGAACCACAGTGTATGACCTGATTCTTGAATCCATATTGCTATTGATATCAGCCAGTCGAACCGCAAATAATGTATTTATTCTGTGTGCAATTGACATAAGCACAATATTATCAGTTGCAATCGATTCCGTGCTCAATATAATTGGCTTGGAATTGTTTCGACACGAAATTCGCAGATAAATATTGAAATTGGAAAAATAGCGATCAATTTTGCAATATTTTCTCAGAATGTCAACTTCGTTGGCCTGTTTTATTCTCAAAGTGGCAATATCATTTTCAGGATTCAGTATAAGCTCTTCAATATCTTTCACTTTGATTTTTTTAGCGATAATAACAGATTGCAAGTAATGACTTTTCTCTAAACGCTGAATGGAAATATTGAAAAAATCTGCAAATTTTTGGAATGATTCGTTGAATCTATTGAATAAACCAGTTTGGTTAAGATAGGCTGCTAACGGAATGGCGAGGTCAATATTAGGTAATTCATATGATTGTGGGAAATCAATTTGTACGCCATATCGAACGTTGAAGCTCAAATAATTACGTGTGGCAACATAAAGCTGACCAATACAACCAATGACACAAATTACTCTTATTATATGCCTTCGTAAAACCATTGTGAATTCAAACACTTTGGTAAAATAAATTGGGTTTTTAGGGAATATTTAGAAACAAATTTTAAGGAAACTTCACAAATGCAAAGTTACTTTTGAGAATGGCTTCTAATATTTTTGGACAGCAAAAGCTACCACAATATGAGCTACTTCCTCAATTGAATCATCTTTTTGGTCAATTCCAATGAGAGCAATCATAAAACATGTGCACTTTCAAGGGTAGACAGTAATCAATCATGAGTATTCCTGAAAGTGTCAAAAATCGCAATTAATTGGTTTACATTCGATCAATCTAGCAAAAATGTCCAATGAAATAGATTAAATATATTTTAATTCAAATTAAATAAATTAATGATTATTATTAACTTCTTGACAGATTTAATTGTATTTTTTTATACAATTTGGGTAAAAACACTTTACATCTTAATCACAACAATTTGTGAAGCATTTTACTCAATTCAGTAATTGAAATTTTCGTCTTTTTTTTATTGTCATGTCAAGTCAGAAATTTAGTTGAAACATTAGCCAAGCAAAGATTCATCGAGCTGGACAATACATATTGTGATCAATTACAGAAGCATTGTGTATATTAAAGTATCGACATCGAAGTAATTTAGCAGCAGATTTGGGTTGACGTTCTCTGGTGAAGATTCCTTTACGATTCCCATAAACTCTAGTTGTACCTAAAGATAAATTAAAAGAGAGTCAATTATAATAAAATGTTTGACAGATTGTTACCAAATAAGTGCTCTTAAAATTATACCTTGAGCAGTCATAAAATCAGCGAAATTCCATATCATTTCTCCAACAAAAAATCCGTCAGCTCGAAGTTGGTCAAACCCATCAAACCATTCCATTAAACATTCAGTTTGATAGTCTTCTGAAAACATGTAGGATGGACTCTGTGGAGTAGTTGCATAGTTCATTAGAGTTGTTGATTGAGATATTGTTAGATGTTAACTATGCACTTACCGCATGTATGCCAGGGATTGTATCGGTTCCATATTCACTGATCAGTATCGGTCGCTTAAATTTTTTATACCAGCGCCTAAGTTCATTAACTAAGTGAGGTTTGATAACCTCTACTTCACCATAATCAGAATACCAAGCAAAATAACGATTTATCATGATTACATCTAGATATTGTGACATCAAGTCTCCACTTAATTGAACTGAAACAGCAGCAGTTACTGGTCTACTTGTATCAAGTTTTTTAACATGAGAGGAAATAGTTTTGAAATAATTATCAGCACTTGATAAAGTTGAACTTGGTTCATTAGCAATGGACCACATTACAACTGATGGTCGATGGTAATCCCGATCGATTAGTTCAGTTAGAAACTGTTTGTGAAGGTTTAGTTTTATGTTGTCAAACGATTCTAACCCAACTGCTGGACATTCATCTACAACAACAATTCCTTGGGAATCAGCTAGATCCATCATTTCTTCAGAATAGGGATAATGAGAGGTTCGAAATGAATTAGCTCCAATCCATCGAATA